ATGCATGCTTATTTATAACATCTACCCTCAATTAAGCCTTCGCTAATTTTAGTTGCAAAACCATTTTTATCATGTGTCCTTCACATAATTTAGTTTTAGAAGCCGTAGTCTCGTATATTCAATAGCTTATTTAAATAACCACCAAAGTGTAAAAAAAAAGAAACATGTCTTTAAAATCACTTTTTTATGCTCTTTCCGAATATCGTATGGGAATTTCAAAAAAATACATACAGAGTGTTGTTTTCTAGACTTGCACAAAAAATTAACAATTTTTGTAGTCCGGATCTGGATTTTTTGCTGTCATACATGAATACATGAAGTATCGTGTGTGCATTAATCCTAGCAAATATGAACCCATTATTCCATTCCCTACCAAAGTTATGACATAAAGCAGTTTTGACCAAAAATCATAAACCACCCTGTATCTCAATAAAGAATGGCCAAGAAGTTATTTCTATAGGCGATCCTAGTTACCCTAGATGTCCTCTATCTCCCATTAAGCCATGTCCCTCTCGTGATGCAACACCCTGTATACCCAGCTCAAATTCCTACGTAGATTCTGTTGATAATAGGAGCTCATTTATACCATCGTTTCATTTTTAATTACCGACGAACCCCTTTAAAGTTTAAATTGACTTTTTCTGATCAAAGAGGATCTGGCTCCGTTTTGCCTTTCAGTTACGTAAAATGTTTTTCATCCCGACATCATATTTACATTTGCGGCAGAGTAGTCTGAGGATAAAACTTCATCATTCCTTTTTCAGGTTTGGCACCGCTTGTCCTGCAAGGCTCCTGTGCGCAGTGTAGTCCAAAAGAACTGAACCAAATTAGGAAAGTTCTCTCTTATATGCAAATAAACTTCCCAAAAGAATGGAACAAAGTTCTGAAGCAATATTCCAGATAAAATTGATTTAGAAGGACTTAGTGGCTGGTTAATATCCTTTAGAAAGGGCCGAGGCCCATCGTGCGTTATGTGCTACTTTTTTTCTTGGTTGTAATGCTGTCTACAATATTTATTTCAAAGATTGGCAAATATGTTTAAGGTAAATTGGCGTATTAAATGAAGTACTATGTTAAATTATAAGTGAATTTAGTAGATAAAAATAGTAATTATATGCTAAGGGGATAAAATGCACCCTCTAATCTAAATTAAAAAACATTTTAGTTGTGTAGTACATTTTTAAACTCTGAAATGTTTAAAATTAAAATTGTGTATTCCCGTTTGTCTTTGTATTCTGCCTCCAAAGGATCAAAATTAGATTGAACTCATTGAATAATACTAAATGTGACATTTGAAAAGCGGTAAAATATTATTTTTTCTTCTAGTATTTTTCTATAAGAGTGTATTAGATTAGGTAAGAACCCTGTGAAAAAGCTTTATATACTTTCCTAGTTAATGTATACATTTTGTTTGTAAGTTGTAAACAATGGAGAAATATTTAAAAATATTTCTAATATGTAAACGCAATCTGATATAATATTTTCAAAGACAAGTTATTGAAGTAGTAAGGAAATGTATAAATAATTTTTATAAAATGCATACTAGAACATTCATATAGCGTTTTTAGTTGAGTTTTTGAAGTAGATATATCTTTAATAATACTATTGTTTGTTATAATTTTCTACTCTTTGTAAATAAAATTGTTTTGTTAGATAATATTATGTCTATAAACCTATAAACTGTTTCGTTTATTTTGTGCCATTTTCCCCCTCTTCAAAATGTCTGTACTGATAAGTGATTCGGGCTTGTGGTCGATAAAAACTTAAGCACTGTAAAATTATTCAAGAATTCGAATCTATAAACTTTAAACGCAATTAAAGTAAACTCGAGGTTTTAAAAGTTTGAAGTTGTTTAATAAGGTCCCTAAAACAGAAAATTAAATGTAAACATAGCTGCTGTCTCAAATATTCAGAGTTTGTTGTATAATTTCGGTACTACTGTGATTTTGTCTAATTAAATTCATGGAGCTGCCTTGCAAACCTTAAACTAGAAACCAGTTTCTGTTTTATTCAAATAACTTGTACAACTTTAACAATACCTTTAGAACGGCTCGACGTAATTACAATTACGCTTAAAACTTCCGGGATCGTTCCTCTGGAAATTAAAAGAGATACTCAAATTCCACAAAATGCTTTCACGGCGACATAAACTAGAGTTATAGAATGTGTCCACTGAAAGAAATGGCATTTTGATGCATATTCAACAATTAATGAATTAAATGAGAAATTAATAAATTAAGGAATGATTTTTATTCAACTGGTTTAATGACAAGTTGTACACACTGTCGTTAAAAATTTTGACGTCAAGCTTTTTTAAGTCGTTATATCGACTATACTTTAGTGCCAAAATAGTAAGCCTGTAGTGATAAATATATCGAAACACGATTTAAAAAAAATTGACAAAAGCCTATTGCCTATTGTTTACAAAAAGATATGTGACTGCGATAGCATGGTTTGACTTATTGAAATGTCACCCTGTTGAAGTCATAAGTGTACAATTTAGTTGTTTCCTACAATATTAGTCCAAAATGGAATCGTGTATGAATGTTATTGGCCAGTCTGATAATCAGGGTAGTCGTATAAACGACACAATTTAGTTCAAGAACATTATAAACGATATTAATAGAAGATGTATGATGGTGAGTGATGCCAAAAATTTAAATTAGCACTGACGTTAAATATACGACCCGCAGGAGATTCACATATTTTATTTTAAAAATGAACTTCTAAATGAAAATTTAGTATTTCGGTGAAACATGGATAGATGGAATATATACCGTATCCAAGATTTGGCAAGACATATAAACAGCAGACGAGAAGCGCATTTTGAAAAGATTTTTTACGGGATTGAAGCTACCAGAGGAAAGGATAAAGATTAATAATTAGACATATCGGACATGAAGTGAATGTGGATTTTAGGATCATGGTTTACATGTGGACAAATCGCAATGAACAGGAGCGTACCATGGAGGAGAGTAAGGCATTGAAAAATGGTTTCCATCCATTTTGCTTCACATCAAACCTGGTTCAGTGATTGTCATGGATAATGCGCCTTGTAGTTGACGAACATAATCACGGAATAGTTGAATTGAATATACAGTGTTATTAATGGTACACGCCTTAAGGAAAGATTGCGACAATTGAACTGAATATGTGTTATTCGAGTGTAACGTTATCACTTCGTTCGTTCGCTGTCGGCGAAGTGCTACTATTGTCGTATTTAACCGACAAGCCTCGTTGTTGGTCCGCGGCTCCGGATCGTCCTTGGTCGTCCGTGCGGATAGAAACCAATGGGGTCCTTGGCCATCCATGCTAGTTAGTAGCCGCCTTTATTAATTCCTTAGACTTCACCGATCTTGCCATCCTTCCCTCGACGTCGTTGTTGATGGTCAGTCGCATTTCGTTCACTAGGATTCAGGATAGGGTTCTAGATTTAATTTATAGTCCGGAGACGTACTTGGGTACTACTCTTATTAAGTGGGTTTTTAGCCGAGGATGCAGTGAGGTGATTTTCTGTATGTCTTATTTTGGTTTTCCAGCTCCGATTCGAAAGCTGGGTGATTTTGAAGCCAAACATCCAGTTAGGCCAAATGCACCGAAAGGAAACGACAATGCACCCAACGTTGTCGTAGTACGGGCGGATCCCTGAAAAGCAAGGTATGGTTAGTTACGACCTGCGTTTCAACTCATAGGACAGAATTAGAGGAGAACGACATTCTATGAGCCGAAAGCGCAGTTAGGCCAAGTGTACCGGAAAGCAAAGACAATGCACCCAACTTTATTGTAGTACAGGTAGATATTCTGAAAAGAAAGATATGATTGATATACAATAAACAATAGCCAAGTCTTTATCCAAATCCTTTTACTTACTTTCTTTCCTTGACACGTCTGCACTGTTGTATCCACAGAACGAAATTAAATCTGCAGTAGAATTACCTCGCCAGGTCCCCGATCAATTCAAGTAACAGCTCGGAGCGTCACAGAATTCTGTTTGAAAATCACTTTGTTAAACGAGAATTGCTCTTTTTCGTTCTACAGGACGTTAAAGTCAAAATTATATTTTCGATTTTTTTCAAGGGTAGTTACGAAAAATATGTCTAATTTTTTTTCCTGCGAAATTCTGAGTTTCCAGTAAGAAAGAAAAAAGTAAATTGACTTCAATTCTAAATAAAAAAACTTGGTAGAAGTCGCCAAACTCAACCGTCTTAAAACTACACAATATTAAGGTTTTAGAAACTAAACGCCAAAACTAAACAATTATTTGTATCGAAGTGGGCTGTGAGGTATTGAAACTGTATAGTTTCTATCACTTCATATGAAGTACTTTCATCCCTGTGACTTTTTTAAAATGCCTCATTATAACGATTTTTCCTCAGTTGAAATGAGAAATATGATGACAAATCATATTTCTGTACCCAAAAAAATTACTGTGGTCACCAGGTAACACCAAGGTACTTAAAATTACCAAATAATAGACAATTTAGCTTCAACCTCTTCAAGATGTTGTACGACAGATTAGAAGAATAAGGATCCTTCCAAAGAGTTGACAGACCTAAAGTATTTACAGCAGATCAAGAGAAGGTATTTCAGTACAAATTGCAAAAAATATAAGTTCAAGCACATGTCGAATCTCAGCTAGTTGATTAATTTAATCCTCCGTTTTTAAAATAACAAAAAAAATTCTCCTTATCATCAACCTCCAGTCCAAAATTTGGCACCACGGGGACAGGTTTACAAAATGCTTCGAACGCATAGTTATGTAATTATTTATTTTTGTAGTTATAGTGTTTGTCTTAGTCAGTAAAATTTTCATATTTTACAGTCTACTTCGATTTGTTTAATTTAATTTTGGACTATAGTCTCCAAAATTTTAATGTTGCGTAATTTCAGTGGAGAGACAAGTATATTTTTTTATTTAAAATTGAAGTCGATTTAATAATTTATTGTTGGAAACTCAGATCTTTAGATAATTTTATGCTGACAAGAAAAGTTCCCACTAAGCTGCGCGGGTGCGCGGCCGCGCACTAATTTTTTGAAAATTACGCAGTCGTTTTTGTATTCTGCGCACAATGGGCGTGTTCAACATTTTTATAAATTTCATTTTATAAAAGAATTGCATCTAAAAATGGCAAAAACCCAAATAAGAATATAAACAAAGATATGAACGATAATGTAAAAATCTTTCTTGTTTCTGTGTTATTAAAATACTTGAAATTACTTATGTAATTTTCAAGAGTATTTACAAAAAAAAATTGACTTCAAACACAGGCACAACACCTCCTCCTCATTTGCATACATTTTTGCTCCCATATGCTTTTGTACCGCACAGTCAGCCAAAAAAATTAGAGGGAACATTGCTGACAGGAGAGGATAACTAGCGCTTTCTGGAAGCGACTGCAACACAGTTACCATATTCGTAATTGCCACCTTAAAAACCATGGTTGTGCAAATTTTCGAGATGATCTGTATAGAGATACTCAAAATATTACAAAAAATCGAAATTATTTTTTCAATATTCCAATAAGACATTTTCAGTTCAATTGTCATAATTTGATGTCAGCAATCTTTCCTTAATGTGTGTACTACTGTTTATAAATCACCCTATACATTGAATATAGAAACTTAATGTTAAAACTAGCGTTATTAGGAATTGCACAACATGAAAATGCCAATTACAAGAAATATGTAGTGGATAAAATGGCTAAAGTTCGTTACCATACCACTGTGAGCAGAAACGTATTGAAGTGACCTAAGAAAATACGAAAACGTAGGTGGCACGAAATAATATAACTTTTAAATGAGGAAAAGTAACTGTAAAGACAAGTGCAATATGCACGTAAAAAGAGAACAATGAAGATATAATGGAACTACTTATACATACGTTTAGCCGATAGCAGTAACAGCGTTAATAAAATGTACATAGATCGTAGCAGGCCATCTTTGTCTATGAAGGTAGAATTGGTATACTTATACATACACACTTTAGGATAAGTACAGAAGCACTAGTCCAATAGTCACAGGCAAAAATTTTTTTTAATTTACTAAGTCTAGTTTTTTGATAGTTGATCACAGTAGCTGTATACATAAATATACTGTGATCAGTCAAGCAAAACTGAGAACAGGTTTCTCAGGTACACTATCAAAGTTGTCGTACCTACCGAGGTAATAAAATGAATTTACTAAGGCTGAAAATCGTTATACAAATAGTTATATTGCATATAAATAAAAGTTATGTCGGTCAGTTAACTGAATGTCGGGACAGAGCTGGTCAACCTCTGTGTATGTATGTATAAAAAATAAATAGTGTGCAATTCATTTACTATACTTCAAAACTTTTGTGAGGTTATTAATTTATTAAATTAACCATAAACAAAATAGTCCGTCAGTGATTTTGTAGTTAAATGTCATTGTTATTGTTGTTATTGGTCGTCGTTATCGTTGTTGTTGCAGTTGTAGTGGCTGTAGTTATCGCTGCTGTTGTTGTCGTTGTTATTGATGCTATTGATCTACAACAGCAACAGCAACAGCTACAGCTACAACAAAAACAACAACAACAACAACACCAGCACCAGTAGTCAGAGATTCCTTATTGTAGTATTGAAAGCATTCATTGCGGACTCGATAGATCGCTTCGTACCCTCCTTACGCATACTGTC